AAATTACTAAAAATTAGTAATAGGACTCATATGTACACATGTGTCCCCCTTTTAAAGTTTATTTTAAAGATGAATTTTTTTATCCATATTTTAGGGACTCATGATCTAGGCCAAGGCGATCATGAATACGGAAAAAATAAAATTTTTAATATCTAAGATGTACATTTTTGGTTATATATATATATATATACCTAAAACTACTCTTTAATAAAACCCCGAGATAAATATAATTTTTCTGATATAATGAAAAGAATAAGTCAAAAAGAAATCATACAAAAAGAACCTACTATAGCTGAACTAAAACAAGAAGTCAATGAAGTAAAAATAGAAATAAATCACCTCAAGAATAGAATTAAAATATTGGAATTACAGAATGAGGTTAATGTAAAAATAACTGATTCAGAAGAAATTGAATTTACCCAATTAGTAGGGACACCTGAGTCATCAGGAACAAAAATAGAAGAAATAGGCACTAATACATCTGTGAACGTACTAAACAAAATAATAACTCAAAAATGGTTTGTAATTACGCTTCTCTACCAAGTCACTGTCCAGCCGAGTGGAAGTCTTTTTGCAGTTATTGTATCTGTACTCTGTAAGTTTTCTTACTTTTGTCTGTAAACAGTATGTTATCAATTGTATGTAAGTTTTCTTACTTATATCTGTAAACAGTATGTTATCAGTTGTATGTAAGTTTTCTTACTTCTGTCTGTAAACAGTATGTTATTAGTTGTATGTAAGTTTTCTTACTTCTGTCTGTAAACAGTATGTTATCAGTTTACTTCTGTCTGTAAATAGTATGTTATCAGTCGAATACAAGTTTTCTTATATAAATATTAAGTTTCAGTTAATGGGGTTCAGACCCTTCTCGCTCAAGAAAATTACAATCTCTTGATTTTCCAAATAAACATTATCGATATTCAGATTATATTGATGCCTGGCACCGTATACTCACCATCCAAAACCAATACAATTCCCATACATGGTTCCTCCAATTCAAAATGTCAGTAACCGAACCTTTCCCTAATTGGTTCACAATTTGGAGCTCTCTATCCCAAATAATGCCAGACACCTTGCAAGCATCCCAAGAAAAATTTATTGAGCATAACGGAAAAGATCCCAAGACAAATTATCATTTATACTTTGTTGCTCTGTACCAAATACCTTGGATCCTCAAGTGGTCTTTTGCTATATCTGATAATAACATAAATAATTATGAATATATTCCATGTCTTGGAAAGCAGATTGCTGTAAAATGGTGGGACGTCTTTGTCTACCACAATTTAAACCTATAGCATATTATACTTAAACAAGTCCCAATTGGTTTTAAACCTTCTTATTTAACCCAAATAATTTGTCCGAATATATATCTCAAATGAGAAAACAAAATCCTCAAGCCACCAGAGCCGAGCTTGAAAAACAATTATATGAAATCTTTTCAGAAGAAGCAGAAATAGCCCAGGATACAGATACCACTGATACCCCAGCAGAGGAGGACCAGTCTGCTCACGGAATGTCCCAAAAACAATCATTGTATTAAAAACCTAATAAGCATACCTTTATATATGATATGACAAAAGATGCCTTGATATGCCCTATGATAAGACAAGATGCCTTGCTGATATGACAAGATGCCCTGCTGATATGACAAGATGCCTTGCTGATATGACAACAAATGCCTCACCGACACCCTCTCCAACATTCATCCATATAAGACAAAAACCCCAACAGTAAAAGCAAAGATTCCCTGTCCAATCATCCACAACTAGAGGTCCACGCATTGGAGATACTGTTTACCTGTCTAATCATTGCCGTCCAAGCATTGCTTTCCCCTTACCTATCAGCAATTATCCAAGAGAATCTTAAAATTATACATTCCAGTTGATTAATCAGTGAAGTCCAAAGCCATGAAGCCCCTGTCAAAAGATCATCCTCAGGAATCAGACAGATAGCATTCTTCGAGAGTTCATTTAAGATTCCTGCCTTCTTTGCCAAACGAAAATTAGATTTTTAGGACATCATATTCATTATGGGACAATTATTCCAATAGAAAGATCTATTCAATATGCCGATAAATTTTCAGATATTATATTAGATAAAACTGAACTACAAAGATTCTTAGGATGTTTACATTATATTGTAGATTTTTATGAGAATCTAACAATAGATGCTAAACCTTTGTATGACAGACTCAAAAGGAATCCTCCGAAATGGACAAACGAACATACTCAAGCTATAAAAAAGATTAAACTCAAAGCAAAAGAATTACCTTGCTTAACTTTAGCTCATTCTAATACTTTAAAAATCATCGAATGTGATGCCTCTGAATTAGGATTAGGAGGTATATTAAAACAACGGCTTAATAATATTGAACAATTAGTACGTTATACTTCTAAAGCATGGAATTCTACTCAACAAAATTATTCGACAGTCAAAAAAGAACTTCTTGCTATTGTACATTGTGTCACTAAATTCCAAAGTGATATATTAAATACTCATTTTCTTATTAGGACTGATTGTAAAGCTGCAAAGGATATTCTTGAAAAAGATGTGTAAAATTTTGTTTCGAAACAGATATTTACTTGTTGGCAGGCCATTCTATCTTCTTTTGATTTCTCTATTGAACATCTAAAAGGTTCTGCTAACCATTTTCCTGATTTTCTTACCCGTGAATATTTGCAGGGAGGGCAACACTAATCATTTTGATCTATCGGAACTATCTTTGCCTTTAATAACATTTGCAAGCCAAGATCAACTCTGATAATTCTATGATAATTCTACGTTCTAAACTAATATTGCATAATTCCCTATTAGGAATGAATCAAGTCTATGTAGTAGATCAATCTATTTCAATTGTTTCCCAGATTATTCAATATCATTAACCGATCCCAATATATTAAAAGTATTATCATTAAATCCTAAAACCCAAGGTTTTGACATGTTACCAGGATCCCAGAATATTGCCATTGTATATAGAATATACTTTAAAGTAATGAATACATTATGTTCGAATGCTATCCAATTGGATACAAAAGGAAAAACTACTTTCTTCCAAACTAATATTGAAAAATCAAATGTAATAATTCCCAAAACTATGCAATGGGCAGATATTAAACTACTTGAATCTTGGAAGATAGAAAATGGAAATCATCATTTAAAAGCACCTAATCGAAATATTCCCGATAGAATAATCGAACACCAGGATGGGAAAATAGAAATCCAATTTCCCAATCAGGTAATAGGGAATGATACAAGTATACTTCAAAAATCTATATTATCAAATAATATTAATGAATCACCCAGATCCATTGGTGAATCATCTAGACATTCTACCGCAAATAGTATGAATCCAAAAATACAAAGTTTATTACGTACAAAGGACAATATAGTTATTCCACAATATCAACCTACATTAAAAACTGAACCAGATCTTTCTGATACAGAAATGGATTTTCATATATTAACGCTCACAAAAAGAGTATCTAAACAATGGATAGAACAAAATTATCTTTCCAAAGAAAATAAAGATATAAGAGAATGGTATCTAAAAAGGTTTCAACCCAGATTAATAGAACTATTCAAAAATCTATATTATTAAATAATATTAATGAATCACCCAGATCCATTGGTGAATCATCTAGACGTTCTACCGCAAATAGTATGAATCCAAAAATACAAAGTTTATTACGTATAAAGGACAATATAGTTATTCCACAATATCAACCTACATTAAAAACTGAACCAGATCTTTTTGATACAGAAATGGATTTTCATATATTAACGCTCACAAAAAGAGTATCTAAACAATGGATAGAACAAGATTATCTTTCCAAAGAAGATAAAGATATAAGAGAATGGTATCTAAAAAGGTTTCAACCCAGATTAATAGAACTATTCCATAAAAGATATAA